AAACAGCGAGTCTATCCTTCAGAGTCTCTCTCTCTCTCTCTCTCTCTCCCTCTCTCCCTCTCCCTCTCCCCCCCCCCCCCTCTCTCTCTCTCTCTCTATATATATAGATATATATATCGTAATATAATTCCAAAAACCAGAGTATATAGTTTTATTTGCATTAATGTTTATTAAATCGCCAGGTATATATATATGTATATATATATATATATACCTGGTGATTTATTAATAAACATTAATGCAAATAAAACTATATACTCTGATTTTTAGAATTATATTACGATCGCAAAATTATTAATCTCTTTCATGAGAAATCCAGGCGTTAAATATTAAATTCGATCGAATGCCTTTCGTTTCGTCCAAATATCAAGAGATGTCCATTTATTTGAGAATGTCAATGCCATTTTTGATACTGTCATTATGATCAGCTTTGAACTGGTCAAACCTGAACTTGACCATTTCGAGCCATTTACATATACCTAGATGCAAGGTGTCCGTTTGCACTCAGTTCTCACCCTCGAGCTAACAGGAGGTGTGAAAATCTGTAATGAGAGACCAAACACGAATTCACGCCTATAATGAACGTACATTCAGAAATCTCTCCTTGAAGCTGCTCTTCTTTCGCGCTTATGTAATTTAGTATAATGATGGTTTCTTTTAAGTGTTCGTTTAATTACATTAAAAAATAAGTAATAATAATAATAAGAAATATTAATAAAAAATAATAATTTCCGTAAAAAAAATTAGCAATACGAGAATAATTATGCAAAAAAATCTTTCTCTCCCTCGTTATTATTTCATTTTTCTATTAATCCAGATGTATATCTTTCTGTATAAGCGCCGAGTTTCGTGCAAGGAACGGAATTACGTAAAAATACATGAAGTGTCCCAGATTTTTGCCACGCGATTCTTGATCGAGTTTCGGTCCTTGAACGAGTAGACACGCGTTCTTAACGAAAATTTATATCGGTGCTCCTAGATTATCCTTTCCTCAGCGAAAACTTGCATCATGGCATCTACATTATCAAAGTGTCAGAAGTCATTTTATTCTACGTCGCGTGCTAACTGGCGAGTTGGGAGCTCGGGGCCAAGATTAAATGTCCGAAGCGCGTTTCTCTTAAATACACGCTATAACGTTTCGAAATTACATAGACACGTCAACATTCACCTCACGTGATATTTTCATTATTTTCACAAAGTGATATCTATCCTATTACGCTGTATCATATCGTAAAGACAATATACAATAAAAAATTCCGATAATTGTGCTATTGTTATCTATCTTTTTTCAGAAGCCCAAGGTATGAGAAGTCGGTCATTTATTGTCTTGCCTATCGATATAAAGAAAGAAGAGAAAGAAGAGAGAAAGCTAGCGGAATGCAACGATTAATCTTTTGTTACGAAGAGCCATTATATGTAATAGCTTTCGTATGTTCATTATGTACGAAAAATCAGTGCAACTGCTCAAAAATTTTCCATCTAATTGTAAAATAAAATGAAAGGTAGTAGCAGTAACGCAATTATCACACGACATAAACATCTAATGTTATCGGTCTAAGATAATAATACACGCAAGTGTTAATTAGCCATCAGTGTATCTATACTTAAATCTAGTGTTACTGGAAAACACTGAAAAAATATTGAAACAACAGAAAACTGCATTTGCCAATATACATTACTTGTAATCGCGAGATTTCTTATACGAATGTGTTGTTCGCTGTAATTATCAGTATCTCCTCCTAGTACTAAATAAGGAAAACCTTATTAATTACTTTGCGGATTCATCATTCATATTCAAGTACAACTGCATCAGGAACATTCAGATAAAAGTAAAGATATCGCGATCACGTACTTTCAGTGTGAAGTTTATATTCACGATTACAATTGATCGAGTCATAATACTATGAACAGAAAACGGTTCAGAAAACAGACATCTGAACGATAATGAAAAATTCTGTTGCGCACCCATTTCTTTCTATTTTTTTTTCTAATTATATATCAATATCGTTTATCAGTATTACAGAAGGCAAAGACAAGCAAACCAATTTTTGTTTGGTGCGAAAGGAGCAAAGTGGTTCGACCGGAAATGACACGTGTCGATAGAAGGGATCGTTGAGTCTACGGAAGTGAGATACGCGCGCCAGTGCAAGATTGTTCGATTACACTTGACTGTAAGTACATGTTTTGTCCCAATTGACGAGGTGTTACATGAGTGCGTAATATACCGTGAACGTGTTGCTTTCAATTCTATTGTTGTGCTCGAGCAGTGCTGTACGGACAATAAGTGGTTTCAACGTGCAGAGAATCTAAGTACTTCTTTCTTATTTCATTACTTTAATTTTATTATTTTATCGTTAGATTTATCCAAATACATGCGATACTCTGTGAATATGTAACGGGATATATACATCGAGAGAAAAATGCGTACTAAATTTTAATAAATATTTATTTGTATAATACTAGCTAAATTTTTATTAAATGTGAACGTATATTTATTTAATACAAGAACTATTAAAAATTTTTAGTACTTATTTTCAAAAAATATTAAGAATTTAATAAAAATTTTACAGATTGTTCCATTATCTGAATATCTATTAACGAATTTGATTGGAGACACTCAGTGCGCACTGATACACATTAAAGCCATCGTACACAAATTAACGTAAAAATATGTTTAAAATAAATGTAAAAGCAGATTAAGAATGAAATCCTCAATATATTTAATTGCGCTGTAAAATATGCATTTTTATAATTCCAAATTTTTACATTTTACTTTTGCACAGATTAAATCAGTGGGTATAATGGTTTTAATATGCACTTGTACGTTCAACCGAATTCGTTACATGTAAAATTTGAGCACAATTTTCTTATTGGTTTAAAAATTATTTAATTTTTTGTTCGTTTTTATTCTTCTGAAAATACCGTTTTATAATATTTATTTGCAAATTTCAGAAAGTAATATAAGAATTAAATCAAATATATTACACATATACTAACAAAACAATAATAAATATCTGTGCAAAAGTTTATTTGGATCTATTTCCTCGTTTAAAAGTTATTGACCTGCAGTAAAATATGGTTTATTTTACTGCATAAAACCATTATAAGCAATTAAATTATCTGTTGCTTCGTTTGCAATTGGCAGAACGTATTTCACTGCTAATATCATCAAAATTTTTTTAATGGAATTGGCTGATTTAGCTATTTTTGGCTGATTATTTAGCTATTATACATTTTTACCTAATATTGTTATGGACAAAAGATTAATTTAATTTAACTATCATTTTTTATTTAATAAATATTTATTTATCGTAAATAAATGTTAAATTAGTATATATATATATATTAGGTGTTGGAATTAATTCGTAGGTATGTTTTTCTCAGTATACCCTGTGAAAATAACTTCTTTTAAATAACAAAGAAAGACAGGATAAAAACGGATTAATTTGCATAACTGGGAAATGTATCCTACATCATATTACATTCTACATTTATAATTAATACACTTTAACAATATATTGTAAACAAATTTATATTGGCTAATTTTTTTTATAAAAATCATTTTTTAATCAAATTTTGGAACATTGTCGAATTTTATACAGAAGGATGTAAAGGGTCGACAAGACGCATTGCTTAAAAAAAAAAATCACAATAAAGACCAAATTAGTCAATATATATATAATATATATACAATATTTTTCAGTTCAGATGAATTTTCATATATCATATTGGCAAATAATAATACCGTCATATATTATATAATTGTTGATAAAATATAAGAAGTTCGCTGTACCTTTTGGCCTCTGAATGCTGACTAATTCAACTCATGTAGACTCATTAAAGCTTCGAACCTTCGATAAACTGCACCGTTTTTTCTCCGACATAAAAAGGAAAGAAAAGGAAAAAGAAAGAAAGAAAAAAAGTGGTGGGTAAAACCCACGGCAAAAGTTGCTTCATCAGGCGTTTCCTGCATTTGGAACTAATAACAAACCCGTCGTGTCACGGGGGTGGTCGCAGAGGAAAGAAGGGATGAAATATGACCTATTTTCGTCACTCTCCGGATTGAAAGTATTTCCGACATCCGAGGGTTAAGCTAAGACGAGAAAATGTCGAACGGGAAACGAGCACGGAAAGAGGGTGAAAAACGGGGCGTTCGGTTCATCGTCGACGTCGTCGTCGTCGTCATCGTCATGGCTTGTTCATGCTATAACGTGAACTGACGTATGTCGATATAGAGGCGTCGCGTGTTTCGGTCCAGCGCCGAGTCTCCTCGCGACCATAACTCGATATCTCTTGGAAAATCCCTTTATCGCGTGCTTTACAACCCATACAAAGCCCGAATTGAATGTTAGCCTAAGACGAACGACCGCCTTGTAAATATCGTGGTCGCTCCTTCGTCTATGACTGCGAGACTTCGTCTATGTATACAGTACACGTAACTAGAATTGCGAACTCTGTGATTAAAAGCAATTTCGTGTAAATAAGCTTCTCCTTAACGACAATGTTAATTACTGTAGAAACAGGAGAGTAAATTTGACTTGACAGTACAAAATACATTTTTTTTAAATACTAAATTTTAATAAATATTTGTTTAAATAGTTCGAAGTGAATATTTATTAAATGTGAACATACAAGTATATTTATTTGATAAAAACTATTTTGATTTAACTATTATTTTTTATTGAATAAATATTTATTTATTGTAAATAAATATTTTACTTTGTTAGTACTATTCAAAGAAATTTGTATTAAGATTTAATAATTTTTTATCAATGTAGTTTATATTTAACGTAATTTAACATAAATTTAACATAAAAATAAAAGTATATTCATTTAATAGTTATTTAAATTTTTATTATTTAAATTATTCTTTGTTAAGCTTCAAAAACTCGTTCGATTTTGTTAATTTTTTTTTCTCCTTTTAGACTCACTGCATCCGCAAGCAGTAAATTTAAGAAACGGTAATTTTACACGCAGAACAGTCAAAGAATTAACCCTTCTGTCACTAAATAGCAAGTACTTCGCGTTAATTTCGCTACCATATTTTAATCTCTTACTCGAGATTAAAATTCCAAATCTTGGTCTTTCATGTTTTACAGAGCACAACGTGCACACAGGAAATTGAATAGTCTTATTTGTGTCTTAAATTCCATGCGCCTGGTACGCGATATTTTTCCATTAATCTAAACTAATATTCTGAATCATGTATTTGCTGAATAAACACGAGTTTCGTTGCCGTAAATAACCGCAAAACGTAACCGCATACATATTGAACGCGTTGAATCGATAAGCGAGGGCGTTCGGTAGCATCGTTTACGAATACATAGTTGATTTACTTTTATACTTGGATACTTTTGCAGAATGAAAAAAATCAAGAGATTGATAAAATACATATGATATATGCTAGAATTCTTACTCGCAAGATCAATTGACATTTGCTAATATCAAAAGTACAAAGCAAAATCGTGCAAAGTCAGCTGTGAGTTACTCGATCGAATATAATGAAATGAAAGATGCGGAAAACGAAGTGCGCAGCCGATCAAGGATATTCCTGGCCCGAAAGCATTGCCTTTCCTTGGCAATTGGTTCAGATTCCTATCATACATAGGTAAGAGAATCTGTCATGAAAGAGGATTCGAAACACGCGTTGAGATTTTTATCAATACTTAAACTAAATAACATTTTATATTGAATTATACTATAAAATGTAACTATATTTATAAAGTTATTGTTTTATATATATATATTTATATTATTTACTAACATTATAGCAATAACAACTACAAAAATAATACTCCTGACCATAATTATTTTACAATGCAATTATAGTCACAAATACGATATATTTTTCTTTCACAATCAGTGTATAATATATTTCCTCTGTTTCTTAATTATATTTCGTGTATGTGTAAACGATTACTAATTGGCGTAAATGGTGCAGGTAGATATGGCAAAGTACATCTTAAAATGGAATCGTGTACTAAAAAAAAATTTGGCTGCTACAGCAAATTAAATAGTAAAATATGGTACAACATTTTTAATTGGCTGCAGCAGCATAATCAGTATGAATGTTGCATAATCAGTACGGCAACATTGTCAAATTAGACGAGATAGGATCCCGGCAATCGACCATTTTTCTATTCTCACTGGAGCTAAAATGTATCGGATGGAAAGCACGTGGCCGTTGCGGATTGCTACGGAGACTTTTTATATTACTATCGCAAAAACAAGAAACACATCTTCAATGGGTAATACAGCCTTGCAACAAGGTCAGTAGAATATCTTGATAGAAATGTACACAGTGAAAAACATTTCGTATTTCTGTTAAAAATGGTTCCCTCATTTCTTTGTTAAAATTTTGTGTAGAATTTTTAACATTTTATCCAAGTGTTAATTTAACATTATATTACTTGCATATTTTTTGTGTTAAATTGATATTCAACATTCCTTAGTAGTGAAATAACATAATTTATGAATATCTAACAATGTATTTAAAACGTAAATAAAGACAAAGAAATAAAGTACATATGTAACATGTTAAAACTGACACCGTTTGTAAACAAATTGCAAAAGCATAATTTTTCAGTAAAATATTTATGACTTGTTAAATTAACACGTATTATATTCCTTTATCTTAGAATTTACATTTTAAATACATTGTTAGAAAGTAATAGTTACAGTAATAGTTAAGTAATATGTTAGAAAGTAACACAAATATATAAAAAGTTAATACAAAAAATTTTTTGTATTAACTTTTTATGTAATATTTGTGTCACTTTCTAACATATTAATCTTGTGTTAGGTTAACACAAAAGTGGAGTGAAGTTTGAGTGAATCACGAAATGTGTTAAATTTAACACAACCTTTCCAACTATGTAATCATCAAGAGAGAAAAAAATGTCTCTTTTTTTTACAAGATTATATACAATATTATATCTTGATTTCCAACCGTACCTCTTTATAATCTCGATGACGCAATAATGAAAACTTCTCTTAAAAATCTTTTAAAAAATCTTTTAAAAAATCCTGAATAAAATTACTTATAAAAAGAAACTTGTTAAGTTCCACGCTAGATAAATATCTAGGTATAAGTGATAGTAGTACAAGTATCTTATGTATACAAAGAGCGCCCTAGTTTCGCTCCCTCTTATCTGTTACCTGTCTGTTATTAAGATATTAAAAAAACCGAAAATGAAAAAAGTGCAAGTAGTACGATTTCATTAAACGGTCTTTTCAGCTTAGGAATCGCAATATTCTTCCGCTTATCTCTGATCGCTTCAACCATCTACGTGATTTGCGTCACAGCTAGTTTCGAATAGAGTTATGTCGTACTAAATTGTTAGATTAATAACGTATTAGCTATTATGGCTTGCGAGATTGCAACATGGATAAATGCACACGTTCCCGATGCAGTACGTCAGATATATGGTCAAGCGCGAAGGTCGTCGATATCCCGAAAATTCGTCAGAATACGGGAACACGAGCTGACGAAGCAACCCTCCACCCCATCGGTATCCTAATTCTCTTTCTCTCTCTCTCTCTCTATCTATCTATCTATCTATCTCTGTCTCTCTATCTCGCTGGTCTCTCCTATGTCCTGTACGGTCGATAGTCCAGCGAGTGTATAGAGAGCCACAGAGGCCAAACACAGAGGCCTACATAAATTGCGTACGATGTAACATCTCGTCTCTCGGTGAAAAGGGCTCTCGCTCTCCTGCTTTCAGCCAGGGCAAATTGTGGCACGACTTTCGATCGAAAGTCAATCCGCACATGATGCAACCGCGAATGATCAAGGCACGTGTCGCAGATCAACGAGGTGGCCAACGAGTTCATGGAGAAGATACGAGCATTACAGGATCCTGAGACCCTGGAATTGCCGAGCGTCTTCACCAATGAATTGCTGAAATGGGCCTTAGAATGTAAGTGATACCGAGTGAGATATTTACACCACTAATGTTTTGCGCTTCTCTTCGAAAATGGAGCATCTAGAATGATGTACATGTATGTAAGTCTTGCTTGTAACAATGGAGTTGATAAATTAGCTCGCACTCGAAATTCAATGCACTGCGGCAATGTACATTCGAGTGTGAATCATAATACATTTATCAACGGTATGACAAGAGAGATACGATTGAAAGTTAAAAATACACCGCTCTATATTCCAATATTAAAATTCGTCGGTCAATTAACGATCATCATTGTTGTGTCGTAATTAATAGCAATATGTTCGATCTCGTGCTGGATGTCCCGCTAGATTGCTTGATGCCTAATCTTGCAGCTTCGGAGCTGTGAATAATGATTAATTGCATGCACAAGATGTTCGATCTCATGTACCGCATGGAATTCAGATGTCTCTGTGGAAGATATACAATACGCGGAATCTCAAGAAGTTCTTCCGTGTGCTGGATACGCTTAATGGGTAAATATTGAAACTTATACTCGTTACACTGCTACGTCAGCATATTACTCCAAAACTTTTACGTGAATACGCGAACTTGTTACTCCACGTCGTCATTACTGTAATCCTCGATGTGTTTTCTCGATATTCTCATGTTGCGAAGTTAGTTATCAATAATGTATCATGTGTCTCACGTTAATTACTTTCTATTTAGAATAAAATTTAACATTTTACGTTATTCTGTTCTACCCTCTTTTACGTTTCGCTTGTGCATCAATTCATCCTGCACATAACAAGCTTCAAAACATGACTCATCGTCGCCGTCGTACTCGCGCAATTTTATTTACGATCTCTTTTAAAATCGCTAGTAAACACATCGACTAAGGCAAAGTATGAAACAATGAACAATAGCACAAATCTACACGACTGCAGTATATTAGAGAAACTTTTGCATATCGACAAGGTAACGGCACAGGTAATGGCGCTTGATATGCTAATGGCTGATATGTATAGTAATAATATGTATATTGATACGGTAAGTGTGAGATTCGAATTCTTCAAAAGTTGTGTCGTAAAAATTCTCACAGTTCGATCTTCTACAAACAAAACATTATTTCTTTTCCGATAGAATTAAATATAATAATATAAAATGATAAATGATTCTAATTAAAATAAGAAAGAATCTTTTCGTTTTTTTTTTTAACGTGACTATATCTATTATAGATGTATCTTCGAAATTTTTATTTTTTATTTCCGGCCTTCGAAATTTTTATTTTTACTCCCGGTCGAGGTAATATTTTTCGCAATAAGAATTAATTATTTACAGATTTTAATGTGTCACTCAACATTATTAAGATCGTTCGAAAATGCGAAAAAGCATCAAATTGTTAAATTGCTAGTCAATGTGATATTACTGTGGTAGTTTAGTAGAATTAGCGTTTCAAGACCGAAAAATCATTTCGGCGCGCGTTTCAAAGAACTACATATGTAGTACATAAATTCACAAAATACAAGCATTTAAGATCCAGCTAGACCGTTTAAGACATTGATTTCTATACTTTGTTTTATTTTTTTATATATTTAACCGCAAACATTTTTTTTTAATGCTTCGGAAATATTTTGGGCAAAAGAAAGATGATTAATTAATTATATCAAAGTTTCAAAAATAGGACTATACAAGATTAAGTAATAATCTGTTACAGATTGGTAATGTGTCTGACAGTTTGTTGTATTACACCGCGGAATAATCCGGAGGAAAAACTACGAAAAGAAATAATGTTCGTGTTACGGGATAAAATATCGCCCGTCACACAGAACGTTCTAAATCAGAAGAGATACGCTAAGGCCTGCATCAAGGAATCCCTTCGATTGTTTCCCATTGCTGTATCTATTCTTAGAACTATGCAAACGGATGTTTGCTTAGGAGGATATAAAATACCGGCAGGAGTGCGTGATGTTTTTTTTTTTACTTTTATTTATTATTTATTATTTATTATGTACAGTTTAATCTGATAACTAATTAAATAACTGTATTATTTATATCTTTTCGTTGGATTATTAATTAATCCATGAAAAATTAATTACTATCAATATATTTCATTATACTAAAAAAAAATTGATTAAATCTTAACATATATATATTTTTTTAATATTAGTATTGAATAAATATTTACTTATAGTAAATAAATGTTCACTCAATAAAAAGATAATAAATAATATGAATAAATCAAATTATCATTTGATTTAACTATCATTTTTTAATTCATGATTTTTATGCAAATCAAATATTTCTTCACATTTAATAAATATTTACTTTGAACTATTCAAACACAAATATTTATTAAAATTAAATAGTTTTTTCAGTGTAAGAAAAAAATTCACTTTAAATTATACGATACGTTGATACATGAATTGATAAGGGGTATTATCGGGTATACATGTCGCGAAACAAATTACATCAATGAAATCATATTCAAAGGATTCTCTTTTCTATGCCATCAGTTTGATGCCATGGTCTGTCATTCTCTGATCGCGAATGAGCGATCCCACGCAGTTTTCGAGAACGCAGAAATACATTCCCGAGGGATAGTTGCGAGGTAACACGGAGTTTCCATCAGCCAAGGAGGTGCATCCCTTCGCGTACATGCCTTTCGGATTTGGCTCTCGTACCTGCATCGGCCGACGATTCGCCGAAATGGAACTCGAGACATTACTCTTGACAGTTCGTAAACTTGCTCGTCCTGCTGGTAATTCTATTGCTCAGGGGATTCAGTTTCTGGGATAACGATAACAAGATTTTCATTTCGAAATATAATTCCGTGTCTCACGTTAAGAAGGTAACGATATCAAACAAAAATGTTTTGAATTCTCTGAGTCCTGAATTTTTACTGTCGAAACGATTAAGATATTTTGACAAAAATTGATTAATATGCTCGAATCTCAATTAATAAAATAAATCTTTAGATACATGGGAAGAATGGTTTGAATAAAGTATCTAAAAATTTAGCTAGATGTGAACATAATTTCTGTAGACAATTAAAATAATTATAAAATGTAAATGCTCAAACTGGTTGCTAGAATGTCAAAACTTTTTGCATGCAACATTGCTTATCATGTTTGAGTTTTCTATATAATTATGTGATGTCCAACAAAGTTATTTTCAGATCTGTATTTAATCTAAATTTTTAAATATTTCAATAAAATCGTTCTCTCCGTGTAATGACAATTAATCAACAAAAATTCGGCTATTATTAATAAAATGTTTTCTATTTTTTATTTTTTTAGCATAAACAAAAATTATATATTTCTTTAACATAAAGTAATTATATATTATATTGTTCATGCTACAGTTCATGACACAATTTCATTCGTTGCTTGTCGTTTAAAAGATTTGTTTGGAAGCGGAAAAAACTACTATTATCTAATTAGTGGTTGTCCTATTAATCTTATTGTTGTATTTCACTCATGTACTACACGCTTTCATACGAACAGCTGAAGCGAACGTAAACGTCCTTTAAATGAGTAACGCGGAAATCTGATTTTTGTTTGTTTTCAATTCACTCGCATGTCTCCGAGGAGAATTCTTCTTTTCACCGATGTTTTATTCATACACGATAAGCATAGATGTTTAATAAGTTGAGAGGTTTAAACGAGCGCACGCGCAAGAGTATATCGCATACTGAGACAATAACAGAAACGGACAACATGCTTGCATAATATGCAGATTCTCTTGGAGCGTTGGACTATGCGTGACTGTGCATGGCAGTGCAATAACGATGTTGTGCTCAAGTACGAATTCCCGGAGAACTAAATATTCTCGCGAATTCTCGTTGGCGTCATTCCTTTCCTCATGAAGAATTGAGAAGCATGATTCCGTAATTTATCCCAGCAGTTTAATACGAACATTAATAAAAATGGCTACTTTTATTTCCGCGGTTAGGGCGCGGTGCTCGTGCATATATTTATCTACAAAATACTTGAATATACGCAAATAGGATAATTATTACTATGTCTTTAAGCCAACTTGCTCATTATATTAATCATTAAGTATTTTAGCTTTAGTTTTGTGTGCTTGAAATCAGTATTGATTTTCAATATTTCTTTTTCTTATATATTTTTTTAATCTAAAAAAAAATATCTTATAATATTCTTAATAAAAATAAAGAATACGTTTTTGTATGTATTAGTGTACCTTTCTAAGAGATGATAGTTCTATTAATGTATCCTCGATTTGTGTGCTTATTCAGGTCTGACTCGTTTTAATATATAATTACTAAAATAGATAATAAATATAAGCTAATTGTTTAAGTTAATATTACGTAAATCATTGTTTTAATCATACTTGCAATTTCAATGTACACCCATAATATAATGGTCTCAGCTCCAACACAGCACATTAATAGGGAGAAGCTTAAAATCTTGTGCGGTATTACGAGTTTCACATAAATTCCTCTAAATCGTGATATGTATCTTCCAAAAATATTTACTGTATTTTAATAATTAAAAAAATAGAATATTATCTTTATTATCGTATATGTACATTAATAATTTAATTTAAAAAAATATTTTTTTCTTATTTATTTCTACTAGTTTTCCTTTATGGCTTATTTAAATACAAAGGCACACTAATAGGGACAATTATTCTATATTATATACTATTTTTATATTATATACTATTTTATTAATATTCAAATATATTAGATTTGCATGCGAGCAAGAAATTTGATTTTTGACGAAAGAGCCTTCACACAGAAATTCAGAAGCAATCTTCTAGTGAGAATTACGAGACTCGGAACCACGCTTTTCAACTGAATAGCTGATTCTCGAAATGGTTTCCAAGCGGAAAAGCAAACTGCGAAAGGAATATGCTGAAGACGTTTTTGTTTTATTTAGGTCATACGAAATTTCCGGATTGAATGGCATCACGGACCACTCGAGTACGAAAGCCGATTTATAAACACGCTAGTGTCATCGATGCGATTCAAGCTCATCGATTTGTTAGATCGTCACAATTGGTGCAAACCTTCCTACGACCGAGCCATATGTTTCATGGAAAAAGATGAGAAAAGTGTCGGAGAAACGGCAAGAAAAGTATCCCGCCGACATTTTGCGCGATTTTTTCCTTTTAATAATTACGACAAATGTCGGTGCAGCCACTGGTTACACGAGCATCTGACTCGAAGAAGCTCGGCCGAAATGGTGAAGATATCATCGACCAACCACACAATTCTTACAATTTTAATCTACGCCCGAGGACAAAAAGCATTTCGCAGAAATGTCGTAGCGTGGAAGCTACAAATTTTTAGCAAGTTCGTAGAAAAGCACGCGCGCGTATGTGAGCTCGGGTCTAAATAGCATAAAAATATAAAAGATATAAAATAAATTGTACATAGAAATTGTATTATAGAAACTTTAATAAATACCGACGTACTTTTTTGTGCTCATCTTTTATTTATGATAGCCCGAGTGATAGCCTTGGGGCAGCATATTGCGACGGATATATTATTTTATACATATTTGTAATGTCAATAAAGTTCAAAAAATATTTATTAACGTTGATGGTTGTTTCAACAAATATTTCGCTTATAGCACTGATGAAAGTTTCTACTAGTTAAAATTATATAAGAAAAAAGAATGAATAATTTGTAACGTAAGACAGTCACTATATATACTCAAGTCAGTAAATTGCCATTATTTAGGCGGATCAGATTCGATCGATTTAACATCGTTGCGACACTAATTTCGTTATATGCCATTTAGTTTAATTATATCGCACAGCGTAATAACAGCATTTACAACAAAGCTACGACATTACAGGCCTTATCTATCGCGAGACGCATTCTGGAATTAATTTGAATTCGAAATAACCGCATAATAGAGCCTTCAAAATAGATTTGAAATGGATCGGAATTCCAAGACATTCCGTATATGTGTATGAGTGCAAATATACGAAAATCGATTTACACTTCGCGATGAGAAGCAATAAAATCATTCTTACGTTACGTCGAATGACGTGCGACACTCTATGTTTCCGCATGGAAGGATAATGCATAATCGGCGAAATGAATCTTAATGCGACCTAGTTCCGGTTTACACGACCCCGATAATACGACTGGATAATAGAATATTACCGTGTGCATGTGTGAATCTGCAATACTTTTTTTTTACATCTATCTCTCTGTAGTTTTCGCTTACAAGACTACAGTATGTAATAAAATTGAATATATTTACATGTGTTACAGAGATGAAAATAATGTGCGGAAAAAGCAAACGGGATAAGATAAAATGTGAAAAAAACCAGCAACGAATAACTATCGAATAAAATTTGCGTATTAACAACGTCATTGTTCGCTTATTTTATGCGATTATCGGTTTCACGAGGGATTTACTCTTTTATAAACCGAAGCGTGACTAACTGATGCGCGGACATGTTAAATTCAACAAATTTTATATATTAAAATGTTAGGTATAGCATGTATATATGTACACGAGTGTATGTATTTGTGTAAAATTCACCATCCGCGCGTCAATGAATTAATAAAATATCAATTTGTGGTACGAGAGAAACGTGAAAAGATAAATCAATGACAGCTTATAATCTCAATGCGAAAATTGACTTCAAACCGTCCAAAAATAAACTCTAATGATTACCACGTTTTATTTTATAGAACATGAGCAATGTGTTTACAAATCCACATATTCATTGCATTCCCGTTACATATATTTATGGAATAATATATAAACAAATATTAAATAAGTACGATCTCGTTTCCCATTCAATGATATCACGTTATTTAAACGCATTTCGAAGAATAATTTTGTAAACCGGAATTAGGTCGCATATCACCGTTCGCGGTCGAGCAAATCGCCGTCGATCGTAAAATAGTCTCACTTCCTGTTAGATCCACGCCTCCTTGAACTTTCCTTTTTTCAAAATATTTAGAACAAAATGTTATATATATTTTTAATATTTCTTAGATGCTTAGCACAACTTTGATATTCCAAAAATATTTTTTAATTAAAAAACTCCATATAAAAAATATAAATTCATTTTTTGTGTTAATATAATTTCAAATAAAACGTTTCATGAATTTAAATAATACTTTTCAATGTAACAATATAAATAATAATTGGTATTCTATCTTTTCATATTTGAATATAAATATGGTAATGCCTTTTATCGAGTCGACAGAGGTTCTTAGAGTGTAACAAATTATTATTTCTTAATTCTACAGTATATGTTTTCGACTTCTAGATTTTGGATCCTCTTCAGTACAATAAATTACAATAATATAGAAAAATTAATTATAGAAATTGTATAATATTGAGCCATGTTGGCTATGCTTTTTTAATCTCCATCTTACGTATCATCGAATTGGGGGTTTTACTTAATTAAGTGATAAAATTACGTTATTGTATGAATTAAATAATATGAATTTCTATTAAAACTTACATGAAATTAGTAAATGGAGCGCATTAAGATGTTGATTGTTACAAAGTTATACTTCAAATGATGGTTGTCACGCAAAACATGATACCGACACAATAGGTCTATTTTCTGTGGCTGAACTACTGTATACTTTTGGAACTTAAAGTGAGATAGATATACGTTTGATATTTGTTTAAAGCGAAAAGGAGAGTTCTAGAACAATCTAATACAGGAACAGAAAACAGACAATATGTTAATAAAACCTGGCAATTTAATGATATGATGTAAAAATGGAGATTAAGAAGGTGTGGCCAACATGACTAGGCTAATGTTATACAATTTCAAGAAAAATCATTACAATCACAGTCATAATACGCGCTTTATAAGAATCACTCGTGTATATATATATATATATATATATATATATATATAATGCATATTATAACACATTAATTTTTTGTTAGAACGTGAATATATTTTATGCATATTTTTTTCACCATATAATTTCGGTATTTTGTATTTATTATAATACCATAGTATATTACTTTATTTACTTTCTTATGCTCTTTATAACTTCTGTGTCGGATTTATTCTCTCTCGTTTTGGTTGCACTAGTGCAAATATGTGACAGAAACGTGCAAATGTGTTCACCATTTTTAGAGGCCTCGTATATATATAATTAATTTATTCTATATTATTGTACTAAAGAGGACTCAAAATCTAGAGGTCGAAATGTATATCGTAGAATTAAGAAATAATAATTTATTACTAAAAACCTGTGTCAGCTCGATAAAAGGCATTACCATATTTAATTAATTTCACTCGTATAATATTGAGCCTGGTCATGTTGGCTACGCCTTCTTAATCTCCATTTTACGTATAGGTGAATCTAGAAACAAGAGAGGGAGAGCCATTGACGCGCTGCATCTCTTGTTTCTAGATTCGTTTATTGCCTATGGTCTCATGGAAGAAGTTCACGCTAGAGAGAGCTTCGGAAACTCGAAATACTCGAATATCAATGTTTTCATTGTTGTGATAACATGTTGCTAACTGGGGCCTTACATAACGCGACGTTTCGGAATCGCTGGTTTCAGTCTCTGTCGGGACAGTCTAGGTCTCTCACGCCTCTATTTCTCGTTCCGCTTGCTATTCAAAAAGATACGGTCACGATGACATCGAAAAACACAATTATAGACTCAGACTGCATGACGTTGACGAGATTCATGCTGGCGGAGCAACGCAAGGCACCAATAGCGACCGGTGACCTCACACAGCTATTGAATAGCATACAGACTGCCATAAAAGCTGTCAGCTCGGCCGTGAGGAAAGCCGGTATCGCTAACATGTGAGTAAATCAGTAAATATGAGTTTCCGAAATTGGCTCAGGACGAAAACTAATCTCGCCAACGTTTGCGAGGAAAACGCGAACATAACGCGCGCGTGGAATGTGCGCGATTCGTCGTTTTCTGCATGGCCGAATAGGCGAAAAAGGAGCAGTGCGAGAGAAGCGGAAAACATTTCGTGATCTCGTAAACTAGACGTCCTAATAGCACATTTAAGCGACAGAACTAGAGACATTTTACGAGATATTCAAATTAATCTAATTATAATTTGTAATCTTCATGAGTTCGAAACTACGCTGCTTTACGACTATACATTTTACATCGTGCAAATACATCTTCCGACTTGCAACGGTTTAAGTCACTTTGTGACAAGATCGTGACTGTCAAATGGAATTGGATTTTCATATATTATATCCGGCGGATGTAGTTTGTGCAATTTTACATTTTCATCCGGCACACAACGGTCAGAATTTAACACGCGGAGAGACTCGGACCAATACGTGTAAAATGTGTAAAGTCTTCGTAGTGTCGTAGCTAACGTTTACTCTCAATCGGCACACGTCTCTCTATTTTATTCAAATGTATTCGGCAGCGGTATAGTCTCATACATTTACCGTCGTGCTCAAGCTGCCAATACACGCCAGTAAACATTAATCTCTACGACCTGACAATTCTGTAACCTTGCATGTAAATAACATATAAATGATTTCCCATTATTACAGTGCCTGTGGTACACACAGCACAGCATGAATAAAACAATTTCATGACTGGTCGCTCTCCATCGACCTCCAAAACAAACTTGCCTTATCAATAATCTGACGAGGATTATGCTTTGAACTGTATGAATTAAGATAACCGTAATGAAATTAATAAATAATTTTATATAAATCTAAAGGCAAATAGGAATTAATAAATCTTAGATTAAATAAAATTAACTCCAAATTTTTTTAACGTAATTAAAAATTATCATAACGTTTCTTATCTGAAACACATTTTCATAGTATCTATTGAATTATTATCTATTGAATAAATATATCTACTGAATAAATCATCTTAAATTTTTACAAAACAATTCTAATGATAATTTATTTTCTAAATAAAAGTTTTATATTCCTTTTATAACCTTTAATATATTTACTGTTTAAAAATATTACAAAAAACGATGTCTTTTTGTTTTAAATAATAATAACTTGTTCCACAAATTCTTCCTTTAATTTTATAATAATTTTATCATAGAAAAAATTTCAACTGTTCGTTTCAAATATTAATCGAAACCTTCTGTATTGAAGTTCGTAAATCTTCCCTCTTGAGAAGAAAGTCTTCTCTCTTGAAAGTCTTAAATCTCTGGAGAGTCTTTCCTTCAACGTGATTCAATATCTATATGTTCAAAGTTCTTAAAAATTTCTATATCTGATTATTAAATAAAGAATATATTAAGAGATATATTATAAATATATCGACATCTTAAAATATTGTTCAAAACAATTGAAATTTTCAAAAAATTTAAATAATATTTCAAATGACTTTTATCATATATTTTTGCCATATAATCAAAGTCTATTTCATGTTGTTGTCATGTAATCGAAGTCAAACTTCAAGTCTATTATCAACCACAACTAATCGAATCAGCTACGCAATGTTCGTTTAGGCATATTAATCAGCTGATGTTAAACGCACACGACATATCGTTATTCATTCAGGTATGGCA